TACAGCTCAAGGAGCCAAGTGTCCTCCACAATAATGACAGAAAAGACAAGAGAAAAAAGAGAGACAGCAAGGGAATCTACAAATTAAAAGAGCCTGAAGAGATGCATCACCCAAATGCACTATGTGAACTTTATCAGGGTCTCAATCAACATGAAGAAATGAAAATATCTTTTGAGCTAAGTGGAGAGTATTGAACACTAGGTATTTCATGATATAATGAAATTATTGTTAAAAATATGAGTGAGGCCAGGGTGTGGTGGCTCACGCCTACAATCCCAGGACTTTGGGAGGTTGAGGTAGGCAGATCATTTGAGGACAGGAGTTTGAGATCAGCCTGGCCAACATAGTGAAACCCCATCTCTATTAAAAATGTAAAAATTAGCCAGGTGGTGGCAGGCACCTGAAATCCAAGCTACACAGGAGGCTGAAGCACTAGAATTGCTTGAACCCAGAAGGTGGAGGTTGCAGTGAGCCGAGATCACACAATCTTTCTCTGTCGCCCAGGCTAGGGATCTGCAATCCAGCCTGGGTGACAGAGACAGGTTCAGTCTCAAAAAAATAAATAAATAAAATAAAAGTAGGTGTGATAATGGTATGCGAATATATTTTAGCAGTAAGTATTGAGTATTTATGAATGAAATCATTAAGATGGATTGGATTTACACCCAAATAATCTGAATTTAGAAGTAACTGGTAGAGTATGAGCACAGCAAGAATGACCTTTAGTTGATTATTAAGGAGGCTGAGTGACAGGGACACAGGTTTTTGTTATGTAATTCCCTCTGCTTTTACAAATGTTTTAAATTTTCTTGTATTTAAGGTGAATGATGAAGCCATAGGCTAGGAGGAGATAAGGACAATACGTGTAACTGCAAAGGAGACATAAAAATAGTCAGAAAGCAAGAAAACTAAATATCATGCAGTAGAAAAATGACAAAGGCTGTGAGAAGTCAGATGTGGAACCCAGGATGAGGAACAGGCAAATGAAAAGAGGGGCAACCTCATCTGTGGTCAGGGAAATGCAAGTTAAAGCCATCTCATGCAAAAAGGCTTTGATGGGTACAAGTGGGAAAACATGAACCATTTTCCCCCGGCTGTCATGCCACAACCATTAACAAAGATGACTTCTTAGGACAGAATGTGGGGGGTTTCTCCCTACCACCCAACAATGAGTTCTGCAGCAGATACCAGCAGCTGGGTATTCTCTGATTCAATTCTGACACATCTACCTGGAGGTAGCATGGGATCCCAGAGGGTGAGGCTCAGTCCCACAAGACTCCCCCCCTCACTTCTGATGCCAACCACAAGCCCAAGGTTGTTTCACCTGTGCTTCTGACTGACTAGCGATAAACCGCGGCTCTCACAACCCTTTTCTTGGGTTCCATTAATTTGCTACAGCAGCACACAGAAATCAGGGAAACCCATTTTCTGGTTGATTATAAAGGATATTCCAAAGGATACAGATGAAGAGATGCATAGGCCAAGGTATGGAAAGGAAGGTAGAGCTTCCATGCTCTCCCCGGTGTATCAACCTCCAGGAACCTCCACTTGTTCAGCTACCTGGAAGCTCCCTGCATTCCATCTTCCTGTGCTTTTTATGGATACATCACTGGATAACTAAGATTAACAATGATGTGGCTGGATAAAAGGGGCATGGTCTAAGACTAACAGACTGAGTGGGGAGACCCTGCAAGGCCTGTCTCTCCAGATCTTTCTTGGATTTTCTGAGCAGTATTCTTTCCTCCAGGGTATGAGGCTGGACCACTTCTGAAATGGGGGACTTGTGACCTACACTCAGACAACATGGGTCAATTTCTTTATGGAGAGCAGGGGATGATTAGAGTCCTGCCTTGGGTAGAAAAAGGAACAGGTGAAAAGAGAGCGGTAGAAGGTCAGAGAGAGAGATTCTGTTTTCTGAGACCGTCTTCTGAGGCCTAATGTGCCTCCAACATTATGACAACGGCTATGAGAGTTATGGCCCAGGAACAGCGGATGAAGACAAGTATATAAAACATCACAGTAGAGATGTAAAAGTGTCAGCAGGAGCTTTTGCACACAAACAGAAGGATAATAAATAGGTTACTTTTACTTTATAAAATAGGGAAACTCAGTCAAGTTTGAGATGCCATATACTAAAACCCCGAAATTCCACACTTAGGTACTGACCTTAAAGAAACATTTATGTAATGGACCCAGGAAGTGATAACAGATGGCTGCTGATATCACAGAAAGACAGCAGGCATTATGCATCTCCCGACAGAAAACATCACCCACTAACAGTCATACAATCAGCAAAATTAAACCTTAATCCAAACCTTTAATTTAAGGAAACACCAGAAATAAAGAAGCATATCAAATCACAGTACAGAGATACCATCAGCAAAACTTAGGTGGTGAAAACTTCTGTAAGGCAAATCCAGTGTCTTCAGTAAATAAATTACGAGATAGAAGGGGAGAGAGAGAGATGAGAGAAGACGCTATGGAAGAAAAGAAACCTAAGACAGTAGCCAATTCGTAGAGAAAGCAAGTAGAATGTTGGTCACCCAAGGGCTGGGGGAGGGAGGAATAGGGAGTCAGTGTTTAATAAGGATTTCAGTTGGAGAAGATGAAAAAGTTCTGGAGATGGATGTTGGTGATGACCACATAATGTGGGAATATACTTAGTGCCACTGAACTGTACAGTTAAAGATGGTTAAAATGGTAAATGTTACGTTAGGTATATTTTACCATAATTTTTTTTGAAATTTATTTATTTAACTTTAGATGCATACTATATCTGGCATTTCTCCCCATGTTATCCCTCCCCACCTTCCCCTCCCTCCCCACCCCCTGCTGTCTCTCCCCTACTCCCTCCAACTGCCCCCAGTGTGTGATGCTCCTCTCCCTGAGTCCACGTGTTCTCATTGTTCAACACCCACCTATGAGTGAGAACATGTCGTGTTTGGCTTTCTGTTCTTGTGTCAGTTTGCTGAGAATGATGGTTTCCAGATTCATCCAAGTCCCTACAAAGGACATGAACTCATCGTTTTTTATCGCTGTGTAGTATTCGATGGTGTATATGCACCACATTTTCTTTGTCCAGTCTATCATTGATGGGCATTTGGGTTGGTTCCAAGTCTTTGCTATTGTACACAGGGCTGAAGTGAACATACATGTGCCTATGTCTTTATAGTAGAACGATTTATAGTTCTTTGGATATATACCCAGTAATGGGACTGCTGGGTCAAATGGAATTTCTATTTCTAGATCCTTGAGAAATCGCCACACTGTCTTCCACAATGGTTGAACTAATTTACACTCCCACCAACTGTGTAAGAGTGTTCCTATTTCTCCACAACCTCTCCAGCATCTGTTGTCTCCAGATTTTTTAATGATCGCCATTGTAACTGGCGTGAGATGTTATCTCAATTGGTTTTGATTTGCATTTCTCTAATGACCAGTGATGATGAGCATTTTTTCATGTTTTTGGCCTCATATATATGTCTTCGTTTGCAAAGTGTCTATTCATATCCTTTGCCCACTTTTGAATAGGGTTTTTTTTTTTTTCTTGTATATCTGTTTTAGTTCTTTGTAGATTCTGGTTATTAGCCTTTTGTCAGATGGATAGATTGCAAAAATTTTTTCCCATTCTGTTAGTTGCCGATTCGCTCTAATGATGGTTTCTTTTGCTGTACAGAAGCTCTGAATTTTAATTAGATACCATTTGTCTATCTTGGCTTTTATTGCCATTGCTTTTGGTGTTTTATTTTACCGAAATTTTTAAAATTTAAAGGAAAAGCAACATACAGATATATTAACCAATTACAATGTGTGGGTGTCATGTGGATCCTGAATCAAAAGAAACTATTCAAAGGTAGGAGGCAATTGGAAATTTGAACACTGACTGTGACAACGTAAAGGAATTACTGCTAATGGAGTGATAAAGATACTGGATTTATTTTTTCATATTTTTAGAGATAAGTACAAAGATGTCTATAGATGAAATGATATCCAGAATTTGAATGAAATGAAATAGGAGGAGGAAGCAGATATAGATAACCTGAAACACAATTGGCCATGACTGATAATTGTTCAACCTGACAAAGGATACATGAGCATGCATTACACAACCTGCCTAAATGTGGACATTTTACATAATAAAGAAGTTGTAAAATGAGGAAGCTATTATATGTCTGCACAAAAGGGCAAGTGTTAGATACTCACAGCATTGTAGTTTGTAATAGCAAAATAGTGGAGACATCCTAAATGCTGACAAAGCCAGGAATGAATCAAAAATACTGTGCTATTTCATTCCACAGAGATCTACAGAGCTAAGTAATTAAATGATGTACATCAGTGGATCTCAACCAAGGGTGATTCTGCCAGATTCTGAAATCCAGAGGACATGTGGCAATATCTGGAGACATTTGTGGTTGTCACAGCCTGGTGAAGTGAAGCTATTGGCCTGTAGTGCCGGAACCCAGGGATGATGCTAAACATCCCATAATGCTCAGAACAGCCCCCACAATAAAGAATTATATCATCCAAAATATCAGCAATGCTATGGCTGCAAAGCCCTGTATCAGATGTACATGGATTACTCCTCAAACCATAATACTGAATTAAAAACAAATAAACAAAAACAAGTGGCCAGCAGATATATACAAAAGTAGTATCATGTAGGTAAATGTTAAGAACACAAAACCAAGACTGTTTACTGCTCATGGAAGCTTAAGCATGTGGTAAAGTATGAAAAGATGGGAGGGGATACTATATGCCAATATTTGAATATAGATGACTAGAAGGCGGAATGACTAACAGGGAATGTTGCTTCAACAGAATTTGTAACATTTCACTTATTTTACCCCCTCCCCATAAGAAAAAGCAAAGGAGGCAGAGGTGAATGTAGGCGAATCTGGCCGGTGGGGGCGTGGTTGCTTGCTCTGTTTATCTCTGGGTTTTTCTATCGGGCTGTGTGAGGCAGAGGCTGGATGCACACACAGAGTTGGGGCAACACTCACCGGTCCCCGGAGATCAATGAGCTCCTGTCTCATCTGGGACACGAGGGCTTCCTTGGCCACCAGGGCCCTGTGCAGACGCTCGTTGAACTCAATCAGCTCGCCATGCATCTCTGCCACCTGGAACACAAGCACCGAAAGGTGAGGCTTAAAGGCAGACATTCCCCAGGGACCGATCCCACCTTCTCTGGACTCTCCTTCCTGCTGTCTGTCAACAAGGCATCTGTAGGCTGTTGGGGTTGGAGTCAATGACACTGCTTACCTGTGAACCATGCAATCCACCCAAGAGGTCAATGTGTTTTCACCTGCTTCATTGTGATACTTCAGAGTCAACAGTATGACATTTATGGTCAAAACAGGATAGTATCAGATCAAGTTTGGACCTTGAACTTTTTCTTTTCCTTTTTTTTTTTTTTTTTTTTTAAAAAAAAAAAAAAAAAAAAGACAAGGTATTGCTCTGTCACCCAGGCTGGAGTATAGTGGTCCGATCTTGGCTCATCACAACCTCTGCCTCCCAGGTGCAAGCAATTCTTCTGCCTCAGCCTCCAGGGTGGCTGGGATTACAAGCCTGTGCCACCACACCTTGTATTTTTAGTAAAGACAGGATTTCACCATGTTGGCCAGGCTCATCTTGAACTCCTGACCTCAAGTCATCCACCATCCTCTGCCTCTCAAAGTGCTGGGATTACAGGCATGAGCCACCACACCCGGCCTGATTCCTAATGAATAAATGCTGTTCTAGCAAAGGCTTTCTTCCACATCTGACTTGTGCCTATCAAGAATTTTGCTAACGGCACAAGGACAGTAACTGACCATTTGATTCACCAAGTCCTCGGCTCAGAAAGTCAAGAAAACAGAACCAGAGCTTTATGAAGTATAGTGACAACAATGGTGACAGATGAAATCACAACAGTGCAGCTATCCTGAAGTCACTGTTTATTCCATGTCAGGCTAAATCCTCCCAGAGCACTCTTCACAGCTTCATCACACTGCCTCTGAGGCAGATGTTATTATTCCCACCTTACAAAAAGAGAAACAGTGTCTCAGGAGTGTAGGGGGCTTGCCCAAGGTCAAACACCTAACAAGGAACTGACACAAGAGCCCTGGCTATGGGCTGCGGTCCTACCACTCCACTCTGCCCACCTGCAACCGTGTGGGCCTGCTGTGAGCTGCTCAATTCTTCCACATTGAATTATTCGATATTCTCAGCTGATCCCCAATAAATACAACTGGAGGTGGCTACAGATGGTCTACTGTCAATGTACAGACTATTCAACTATAATTTACTTAGGCATTTTAGAGAAACCTAAAATGTAATCCTGCTATGCCCTTAAAGAATGCTGAAGGGGCCGGGCGCGGTGGCTCAAGCCTGTAATCCCAGCACTTTGGGAGGCCGAGGCGCGTGGATCACGAGGTCAAGAGATCGAGACCATCCTGGTCAACACGGTGAAACCCCGTCTCTACTAAAAATACAAAACATTAGCTGGGCATGGTGGCGCGCGCCTGTAATCCCAGCTACTC